TTTGTTAGGGAAATGCCTGAACACGGAGCAAAAAAGAGTGCTACTAAAGAGAAACGGAGGATGAACTGGGTTTATGTCAGAAAATAGTGATTTATGAGTTTGGAATGAGGCGACATCTGACAACATCTTTGTCTAGTTTTCTTCACCCTTCAGCAGAAGAAACTTTAAATTTACATTATATGTTTTATCTAAGTGTAAAATTTTCATCGAGAAATAAATGAAATATAGTTAATGTTGATATATTTTGGCACTAATTTGATGAATAGATTGGTTTTGGGGTAAGAAAGCTTTTCAATTTCAAAAACAAACAAATAAAAACGTATAAAACTAAAAGCGTATAAAACAATGCAGTGAAACTAATGGAAAAACATGATGTAAAAGTTGTCCCTGCTTACAGYTTGGACACTTTTAGTTAAGTCAACCTTGAACCAAAAGACAAACAATTAAATAGTYCTCGCAACAATTTAAACCAGATTAGAGTGTTTATTTGGCTGGAAAGTAGGGAACACATTTCGCACATTTTGTCACCTCAAGAGATTTAAAATCTTAATCTTTAGCTGAATTAGTGGAGGTCTCTGACCCTAATTAGTGTATCTCGCAAATTTTCCAAGGAATTCTCAGTTAAATGCTCCTTCAAGCAGCTACTGATTTGAAAAACTGATACACACTCAGCAGATGAAGATTACAAAAAGTTAGCAAAAGGTTTTACAGTAAAAAACCCTGTGAGGGTGGAAATTTGACTAAAAACAGCAATAAAACAAATCATGTGTTTCATGTGTTTGCAGTTTATGCGTTTAGAGATTCTATACTTTAAAAGAACTATCTCRACATTTAACACCCTCTTTCTTTGCTTATTATTGGATTCATATTAACTCTRCTACACAGGTAGCCACTGGCTCAACCGTAAAACAAACAATAGTCAGATATAGTCTCTCTCTGACTGTGCATACAAGAAACGTGCTAAGCACGTTTTTTTTTTTTTGTTTTTTTTTGATTGGCATCTTGATTAACACCAGCTTTCTTTAGTTCCATCATCATAAAACTGGATTTGTACTTTGAAAGTTGCAAGACAAACATTATTTCATTTTGACCTTGCAGGCTATGCAAGAGCCCGTTCTGTGCACAAGCTCCTGGCAGAACCTTTTTCTTGCAACACTGTGCAAAAAAAATGGAGTWGAAGGGGAAGGCTTGTGTCTGAATCTTCTCAAATCAAGCGAAATAATCTGCCACTGCAGTAAGGCAATTGCACTTCATGAAATAAGGGCAATTTCCAGGCTAATGAGATTAATAATCTTGCACCTGATCAATCTCAAAAATAGATTAAAAAKAATTTTTGGTTGCATATAATAAGATTGGTTAGATTGACATTTTTTGCAGTGCATCACTGTTGGTGACGTACAACCACTGTTTCCCACAGGAGTTCAAAAGACTGGTTCTGTGTGAAAAAAAATTCACCATCGCTTGCAGTCCACACCTTTTCACTAGGATCTTTTGTGGACAAATGCAGGCTCATTAGCACCGTGTGCAACAATAAATCTGCCGTCCAAAAGGTACACAGACTGCGAATCAAACCTGCTGAGAAAGACAAAACAACAAATATGGAGGAAATAATGTGTGGGGAAAAGGTTTTCCAAATTGTACGTAGGGTGCCAAGTCTTTTGCTTCTGTTTTCCTTCTTTATAACTTGACAGTCATCACACCACRTAAACTATAATGAGTCAAGCTGAGTCGGCAATCAGTTTCAAATATGTGAGATGGAAAACGTTATTTTTGCTTAACCCCTCAACGGTCCTCCGTTTTGACCCTGTATGAAATCAGTTAAAGRCCTAAAAACATGACAGATTTCCCTCAATTGAAGTCAGCATGTTTTGCATATCAGCTTTTATTTGCTTTGACAGAAATTTTGACCCAGTTTCCCAAAGGATTTGCAGACCGCTGTTTTTGATTTTCTGAAAAAAAGAGAAAAAAAAAAAAACACGCAGCTATTGATGTCACACGAGTACGCCATTCTGCATCTTTTTACACTGGATCTGGTGCACCACTCTGACAGCAACATGTGTGTATCCACCTTTACACCACACACACACGCACACGCACACACACACACACACACACACACACACACACACACACACACA